CACGTTCAAATTTTTTCATCTGACTGATGGGTGTTGGAAAATCAATACATTTAAAATCTAAACCACTTTTTTTTTCTAACATTTTAAAATATTTTTTATTTAAATAAGTTTTATTCGAACGATTATCGAATTTAGATAGTATTGAATATTTAAAACATTTATCATCGTTATTTTTTACATTTATAATTGCTTTTTTATCTTTCATAAATTCAGGTAGATCTATATACGTTCCTCCCCTGAGAGGATTCACTATATTAATTCTCAATTGTAATACATCTATAGTCTTAAGGGACCACCCAGATCCTTTCGCTAAAAACTGGTCTTGCTCGGATAATAATTTATCGAACATCCTATTTAATAATTTATTGAAATCGGATGAATTACATGCAAGTGTATTAGAAGTTTTGAATGCTATGTCCTGAACTTCTTGAGTAATTATTCGTTCGTATACACTATCCACATGTAAATTAAATTTTATAGATGATTGTAAACATGATTGTTTTAACTTTAAAATTAATTTATCTCTAACATAGTTAAAAAAAAGCATATAGTCTATAAAATCTAAAGTATTCTTAATCACAAATGTTTTCGAACATTTTTTAAACCTTTCAATTTCAAATAAACCTTCATCAGAAGATGTCATCCGCTGACGTTTTGTAACCGTTTTTCTTTTCATTGTGAAACTGAAAATAGATTAAATAAAAACATGGGTATAAGCAATAATAATAATATTGAAACAATTTATTATAACATCAACTTCTTTTTTTAAAAAAAAAAAATCTTATGCAAGCAATTTAGAATATTTTTTTTTTTTTTTTCATAAATATGATAATAGTATTAATTCTAAATTATTATAAAAAATTGATTAATACAATAAGAAATTACTCAGATTCTAATTCTCTTAACCGATTGCTTAGTTCTGTTAACCGATACTGAAGATCTGCTTTACATTCACTTGAATAGTTTTGGAATCTATTATGTTCATTTATCAACTCAATTTTTAAATTTAAATGTTTCTTCATACTATTATTAATTTTTACAATTACTTTTCGAAATGCTTTCTGTTTCTCGTTACAATAGCGTCTATTTGCACGCACCTGTTGTTCTACTGCTAGAATTCTGCTTTTAATAATGTTTATTTCTGAGCTCATGATTCTGAAAATTACATAGAATTTCATAACTAACTATTAATACTGGTACATTGTTTATACGCTCATTATGTTAGAAAATTGATACGTTTTTTTTAATCTAAATTTTTATTAAATTAGTTTTATTTGTACGATTATAAAACTTGAACAGTATTAAACATTAAAAACATTTATTATCCTTCGTTAGATATTATATACACAAAATGATATAGGTTATAATTTACTACAATATCATTCGATATATAATTATAAGATAAAATAATAAATAATAACAAAAATAATTTATTTATATTGATTTTTATTTTTCGAAAAACAGAATATTATCAGTAAATATATTATTATATACTGTCTAATTGTTCATACAAATCGCTGAGCCCTCTTTGGATACTTTTTTCGCAAAGAAAGTCAATGTATAATGAATTCTTATATTCATGTAATATTTTTTGTTTTTCTTCTATTAATTTATTTTTAGTTGTTTTTAGACTTGCTTTTGCTATTTTCATATTAATACAATTCAGATTTTTCCTTAAATTGAATTTGGCTATTCTCATGCCTTGTTCGTTTTCCTTGCGTTGTCTCAAGATGGCGTTGATTTTTTCAGTTATTAGTGATGACTCCATTTTTTTTTTTATTCTAGAAAAATGAATATAATTTGTAAACTAACTACTAGTTATAAAATAATGTATATTAATGTCCAAAATTCATTATTTTATTTTATATTTAACTTTTTATACAAGAAAATATTACATGTTAATCTTAATTTATTGATATTTCTTAAGGACTAAAGTTCTCCTTAGAAAAATATTGCTCGGTTAACTCTTTTTTTACAACATATTTCCATGTTATGACCACTCTTTCTGCTAATTTGCCTACGACTCCACCTCTGCTTCTTAATTTGTTGACTACTCGACCAATTTCAGTGGCTTCTAAAAGTTCCATAGTCATCGGAAGTTTCAAAAGTTTGCATAAACATTCATATATTTGTTTGTTGTCGCAGATCTCAACAGCTCTTGTGATTTTTCTGGCATAGTGATTAATCACTCTGACTGACCTATATATTTATATATATATTTAAATATAAATGTTTCTTTATTGAGGTTAGTTCATATATAAATGCTTATAATATTTTATGAAACCAAATATAATATAAACATTTATATCAAAATAAAAATTAACTATGACGACAGATCATGTACAAGCTATAGTTTTCAATGATTATATTTAGTTTATAGAAATTAATGAATAATTTAATAATAACGTAAAGAAAACAACAATACTATATTATAAACTATAAAAAAAACATTGATTACCTGTGTACATAAATATAAATTTATAATATATTTACAAATTATTCATAATTTAAAAAAAAATTTTTTAACCTGATCTAAACCTTTCGCGCTTAGATTCTGCGGTTGTAATAAAATCTAATCTTTTACCAAAACAGTGTTCTCGTCTTCGAAAATTTGTAACATATAAATCACTATATTTTCGACATATATCTATTTTTTTTTCTCTTAATAAAATTAATTTAGCATTTAACTCTTTTATATAAGAAAAATTCGGTTTAGAGTTTGTTCTACTTAAATAAATATTATATTTGAGGTTCCTAATTTTTTTTTTAAGATTTTTATATTCGTATCTCTCTTTAATTTTATTTTCATCAATTATCTTCGTTAATATTACAATCTGTTCTTCATAATATTGAATTTGTTCACAACAATAATCATATGTATGCCAAAAATTCATTATCTGTAATTTACCTGAATACATTAGTATAAAAAAATATAATATATAAATCTAAAATTAAATACAGATAGTAAACATTATTGAATGTTTTTTAAATTAAAACATTTTTATGTAAAATAATATTATACGTATAATACAACCATGAAGATTAGAGAGCTCCTGGCAGAATAACCGTGCGACTTATTTGACAGGCCGCTTTATAAACGAGCGGCTATAGGAGTTTGTTCTCCTTATCAGCTCTAATCTTCATGAATACAACTATCGCATTATCAAAACCAAATATTTATAATCAGCGAAAGTATTTCAACGTTGATAAAACTATAGATAACCGTAATAGCGTTTTTTCCATCTGACTGTACTAGTACACACTACACGTGAACACTGATTCCATAATCACATAATTGACCACACCGTTGAAATTCACGGTGTCGGCCAGTGTACACCAGTGTGTACTAGTACAGTCAGATTTTGAGGTTAAGTTATAATAATAATTATCAATAATAAGCATGAACTAAGATAATATATCTTAGTTCGTGATAATATAGAACCCTTAAAACCTCAAAAAAATTTAAACACTTTATCCATGGCTGATAAGCCCGATGTTTTATCTTATCTATGTAAATCTATGATACATTGATACAGCAGTTTTCTATATCGCGGAGTGTGGTCATACAGTCACATAATTATAACGTATTATTTATTTTATTTAAACATAACTTAACAAAAAAGAAAACAGCTTATATGATAGTAACTAAAAGTGAGAGTTGAGAAACCGTCTTAAACCACTACTTTTTTTCATAGGTTTTTTCACACTTGTTTTTCTACAGTAAGGTTCTGCAGTAAGGTTTTTATTTTATATAATCTGATCTGATGAAATATCTTTAAGTTTGTAAGCACGGTTTTAGATAGAATTTCTATCTAAAGTCATACCTACATGATATAACGTTCATAGTAATATTATAAAGCTATATTACAACGATACATTGTTATTATTCTATTTTATTTAATTTATTTTTTTTATTTTAAAAAAGAAGTTTAGATGTTAAATTTAATAAATAACAATATAAAAAATAGTACTTACATAGCTTGTGGAAATTTAAGTATTTTTCTAAGTATGATGGCTTGTCGAAGAGGTCTGGTAATCTGCTGGCTGATTGTTGGTTGGCGAAGAAGGCTGTTCTGCTGCTGAGTGCTGACTGCTTTTGGTACTGCTGTGGGCTGCTGTTGCTTGAACTGATGACGATAAGCTAAGAAATTCTGTGTTTTATACCCGAAAATAGCCCCTCTCTGCTCACATCAGAAACTTTTTTAGAATGGATTTAAACATTTTAATATATTACACATCCTGTTTTCATATTAGAATGACATTGGTATGTATGTAAATTATTTTAAATCCTGTTTGTAATAATTTATATTCATATAGTGTAATTATTATATGAAAGCAATTTATGTTAGCAACAATTTAAATTCATATAATGTAATTTGGTGTTGTACCTCTATGTACATGTTTCGACCGGTTTCTGTAAGGCAAGGTCTGTAAGGTAAGGTTGCTGTAGAAATTTGTATTTTAAATTATTGAAGTAGTGGCAAAATCTGTGTATAAAAGACAGAGGGAATTCACTAATATTCACCAGTCTTCAAGATTTCATCCCAGGACAAGCAGCTCAGTTCAACAGAGATAGTACCAAAAAAGATGTCGTACCGTACAATTGCTTCAACTGATTCAGAGGTTAGTAACTACTTAGTAAATATCTTATAACCAAAGCTAATTGGAGGCCAGTCGTAACACTACTCAACGCTATGGTTATAATTCTTAAAATAATATTAAATGCCTGATTATAGCATAGTTTAAAAAACTATATAGTAACTAAAGCATATTGGAGGTCAGTCGTGACATTACTCAACGCTTTGGTTATAATTCTTGGAACATAGAAAATATAAAATGAAAAAATAGTAAAAATAATATACTATGTTTTATGTTTCATAGAATGAACATTTCAGCGAATCAATTGATATGAGACCGTCTTTTTCAAAAACAAAACCTGGTCTAAAACGTACTGCAGAAAAAACAAGTGTGAAAAAACCTATGAAAAAAAGCAGAATAAAATGGTAGTATAAATAATATTTATTATAATGATAGCATAAATAATTTAATTTTTTTATAGAATGTATCATACAGAGATAATGTTACCGAACGTTTGAGATCAGAAGAATTTGATGTCGAGTTAATTAATTCGCTAACATTTAGACAAGGGGACGGTGGTGTTGTAACAATCAAGTCACCTTTTGAAGAAAAAGCAAAGGAGCTTTGGGTAATTAGCCACTATAAGGTTGCTAACATTGAGAATGTACCAGTAAAAGACAGGTAAATACATTGGTTTAAATTTAAAAAACCTATTGATGAATCTGTTTTTTTTTTTTTTTTCACTGATTTTATTTACTTCTTTTGTTTTTAAAATAAAATAATTTGGTGTTATAGATGGAAGTTCAGTGAAGCTACTGTCAGATTGTATACAAGCGATGAATCAAAAGATCAAACGCTTCATACTGGTCTTAATGAGACAATGCAAACCATATTTGACAAATTACTAACCGATCCGAAGCGTCAGACTATTAAAAGCAAGACGACCGTTTGATTATTATATGAAAAAATGAGTTTCATTTAATAAACAAAATATTATTATACATGTATGTTTTTATTTATTCAAAACTTAAAGGTCTTGGAAAACATAAACCTATAAACTATGGTTGGTTGGAAAAAAATTTAAAATATTAACAAATTAAAACTAAAACTTATTAAAACTATTCTTTATGATTTAAGGTGAGATGTAATTAAATAAAAGCAAGTTTATTATTGAATAAAAGTTTTATTAAAAAAAAAAAAAAACAATAATTATACATATTTAAATATTTTTTTATGATATTAGGTCTTGTAAAATCATATCAGACAATGTGTTAAAATGGAATTGTAATATTTCATATAAAAATGATGTGTCATCGTTCTGTAGGTGATTATAATAATTAAAATCATAGTTTTGAATATATTGGTTGGTAAATTCGTTCCTTTGACAGGTGGACGGCAGACCACGGACATCATTTTTAATTAGGTCATATGCAGTGTTGAAAGTATTTTGATAATTTGCTAAACGTTTTTGCTTGTCTACCACGTACAAATCTATCAAATTCTGTAATTGACGAAGTCGGTACAAATCTACATGTGACAAGGTGATGTATTCCTCATTTATATGTAGGGTAATTAAACTCTGTTTAACATTGGTTGAATATGAAAAGGAATCGGTGATTTTTACACGCCTCACCCTAGTATTTAAATTATTAATAATCGAATTGTAATTAGGTTCAGACATCAGCGTAAACCATTCTTCTAAACTTAATGTGATAATTTTCTTTGTAAGTTTACATTCCAATAATAAAATAATTGAAATCTGCTTGTTAATTAGTAATCCAACTGTAATACTTTTCTTGTTAAAAGCCCGGATGTCGAATGTAGACTTACACACAATTATTGGTGAACTCATGGTGAAGTTATTTTTGACAAATTTAAAAAAAAATCTTTTATAAATAAGAAGTGGGATATAACTGTTAGGAGTTATACATTGAACTGCTAGTTTGTTCCCTTTGCAGTCATATTATATACTAAAAAACTCTTTGGAAAAATGCAAAAAATGTGAACATACAGATAGCCAATGAGTGCGTACAAGAGAGGGAATTTACATATACTTACTAACCTGTTACCTGAAAAACATTTTAAATTATTTTATACGCACTAATTCGCTAGGACTGTATGTCCACGAGATATTAAATCGAATATTAACACATTTAAGATAAAATATTCAATTTTGTTTTATTTTTTTTTTATCCAATACAGCAAATATTATAAGCAGCATAAATATATGTACCTATATATAAACATTTAAAAAAAAAAAAAAACATGATTTAACAAATGGTGTCGTACGAACCGGTTTCACAATTACAAATAACTTCGGTTTTACAATATTTACTTAAGACTTTTTGAACAAACTGATTTCCTTTCATTAACAATACAAATAAACATCTAGGTGAGAATCGAGTATGTTCTATGAAACAATTATCACCGATTTCAAAACTATGTAGAATTATTCCACACCAATGACATTGAACTGCATCGTCGAGATTGATATAGTAAAATCCACATTCCGAGAGTTTGTACTTATTCTGTCCGGTATTTGAAGGGAAACTTCTAAAAGTTCGTAACCTCGATACAAATGTAGAGAATTCTGGATACGCTGGCGATGAATTGAATCGTATTTGATCGACCAATGACTGGATATAGTTTGTGCATTTTTGAAAATTCATTTTGAAGAATTAAATAACTTATTCAATTTAATAAAACTTTGAGAAAATAAAGAAAAATGAGGACACAACTTGAAGTGAACGATAGTCATTAGTAACTGAATATAATAAAAAAAAATAATCAACTTTAAAAATTATTGTAAATTTGTTTATCAAATTTTAGATAAAAAAACAGTGTAACCAACACGAGTAAAAAAGAAAAAAATATTAAATATTTTTTTGCGTGAGACGAAATTTGGTAGTCAATCAGTGTGAAATTGTGTTACACGGTAAATCTGAGTGCTCCAAGGGGACATTCTCCGCTTGAACTTTTTTTTTTTCCCTGGAAAAGCTGGCTGTGAACATACAAATATATACTACTCGTGTCTTTATTACTTATTGAATTAGCCATTAGTTATAAAAGTTGTGGTAATTATACAATTTTACAATATTATGCCGTATTATTTTAATGTATTCATTCACAATTCAACTGTTTTAGATTCTGAGCGGAGCGAGGAAGCTAGTGGTTTTACAATGGTGTTTATTTTTTTTTTTTATATCCTGTATAAAAAATTTCTACCAGAAGGAGTGCTTTGATTTCAACATATAGTACCTTATCTTTTAGCAAATTGGACCAAGATGGTACTTTAGAGAGGTCATTTTTCGATTTTCTCAATAGTTATATAATGCCACGGGAAAAACCACCGAAAAATTACGAAAAACCATTTAAATCGGATTTTAATTTCTACGCTTGGTTTATCACCATAGAAACGAATAAAAAATTATAATATTAATTCAACTTACATACATGATATAATAAATAATAACTATATAAAATATCCAGAATGACAAACGTCTCCGTTCAGAATCGTTTTTCTTATACAATTGATATATAATCATTGATTTCAAGTTTAATACAATCCATTAAACAATGACCAACTTGTAACCTACTGTACCGCTGAGCGACATCCACTTACCTACCTTTTTTTTAAATTGTCTTTTTTCTCTCGATATTATAAATAGATAACTCGAATTTTAAAAACCAAAAATAGATTTTAAGCATTTAAAAAAAAACATTTTAGCTTTTCTAAGGTCTTAAAAACAATTTCACGGTCTATCATACATAGGTACATACATACATAAAAACTATACTAGAACATCTGAATTATATATCGAATTAAAGCTAGGTTCTTACTTTCAAAATTTCCAATTAATTAACATATTGTATATTATGTATTATTAAATATTTTTTTCTAATTTTGTATCTATTTAATCATCAAAAAGTATATATATTGTACCAAAAAAATATTGTCATTTGGCAAACGGTGAAATTATATTTTATAAGGGTTGTAGGTAGGTACCTACCCATACATTATTTTATTTATATTAACTTTAATAACTTTAACACAAAATAATTCTAACTAATAATTAATACCATATTTATGAGAATAGATTATTATAATTATAGTTATAGTAAGTTATGATATTAATTGTACCTACCCAGAAAATAAATTTACCTAGGTAAAAGGTTTTTTTTTAAAATGAGGGGCCCATACAAAATTCTTATGCCGGGGGGCCATTCATTAGCCAGATACCGACACTGTACCTATATATAATATATTATTATTCAAGATAAACTTTTTTAGATATCTTATGAATATCAGAAGACAATATATTCTGTATATATCATTAACAATATATCCAACTAATATTCTTAATAAATGAGATTTTTGATATACTATTTCTGATATTAAATAGATACATTGTAAATATGTTAGTCAAGATAAAGTTTTTTAGATATCATATAAATATTAGGGACAATATATTCTGTATGTATCGTTAACATGATATCCAATAAATATTCTTAAGAAATCGGATTTTTGATAAATTATTTCTGATATTAAATAGATACACTGTAAATATGTGATTTAAGATAAAAATTCTTAGATATCAAATAAATATTAATTATAACATGTACAGCAAATATCGCGAAGAAAATATTTAATATATATTGAGCGCAAATTACTTTTTGGATATTAGAATCATGATATAATGAAGCTATCACACAGATATATAAACACATACATTGATATTCAGTTATCTTTAAGATATTGTAAGTATATTAACTAACGAATGTACAAAAAATGATATAAACTAAATATCAAATATATATCAATATATCACATTTGCTATATGGGATGCCATGTTATATTGAGAAATTGATAATGTGACCAAAATCTAACTTCTCACAGAAGTTGTGTGACTCCTTTTGCACAGTAGGTATATATTATATTGCTGACTAAATAGTATGATTTTATGCATTTAAGTTTAGAGGATATATACTCTTACATTATTAATTTACATTTTAGGCAACAATAATTGGGTTTAGAACTAAAAAAATTTTGTTCATTGGAATACGTAATCGCTAGTGTTTAATATGCGAACGTTCAAAAAACAAAAACACAATATCTGAAACTCATAATTGTTTTTTAAATTTGAAAGGAACATCAACTGGTATGGCATCTGACGCTATAGCTGAAGGTTTTGCGAAGAGTATTGAAATGCATGGTCTAATATATAATAAACTTATAGGTATGAAGTCAATCAATATCATTTTTGTAACACTTTAGATATTTTCAAATGCAATTTTCTCGGCTAAAATTAATTACATCTCCTGTAGTTCTAAAACCTAATAATAGAATGAATTACTTTAATCACAACAATATCATAAATTACACTTCGTAATATTATATGTATAACCTACTGTATAGCAGTGGTATCCCCCCCCCACTTATTGCCTTTTTAACATTTTAAATAGTTTAGTGAATTTTGTTATTTTAACTATATAATATTATGTTTAGGGGATGGAGATAGTTCAGTGTGTAAGCGACTTCATCAAACTTTACCATATGGGCCAAAATTATTAGTAGATAAAATTGAATTTCGCAACCACATATTGAGAAATCTTGGTCAAAAAATATCTCAATTAACCAAAAATACTAAATATCCAGGGCACTTACGTAATTTATTAAATCAGAAACAAAAATGCAATAAATTTCGAACAGCCATAACTATGGCTATTCAGCATAGAAAATCGCTAAATGATAGTGAAGTAAATAAAATTAAAGGTAGTTAGTAAATGAATTTTTGTTTTTTACACAAATAACAATTTTAATCACAAGTAAAAATAATATAAGTTAAGTAAAATAATTTTAGATAAAAAAAAGGATATTGAAAATGGATCATCACATTTACTAGGGCAACATTTAAATTGCGATTCTTATTTTTGTAATGGTTCTAAAATTGGTGAACAAAATTTTGTACCTGAAGCGGAAGAGTATGGATTAATGAGTGAAATATCACGAATTTACCAACGAGTTGTTGAAAATGCCCAAAGTTTGTTACTAGATGTTTATTTATTTATTTATTTCAAACATTACGGGCAGAGCCCAATTACATTACAAGTGTACACTAAGTATAAAATTACATTTAAATATTTAAATATTAATAATTACATTTTTAATAGAACAGTAAATAACAATTATAACAATAAGATTAGTTTAGGTAGGGAATGATGGTTGTTCATTTGCTATGCGCATCATACGATAGATAGGATTATTACGGCCGTAGTTTGTAGAGCAATTTGGGATGTAGAATGTTGTATAAGAACGGAGGGAACGCTGTGGTACTTTAAAATTGATACTGGAGAGAAGAGTGGGAGCGTCTATTGATCCGTCTAAGAGCTTTCGTAAAAATGATAGATTAGCAGTTGCTCTTCTATCAACCAGTGAAGTTAGATGTAGTTCAGTGAGCACCGGGAAGTAGTCATGAGGGACATGATCTATCTTAAGTACATAGGCAGCAAATGATAAGAAGCGTCTTTGCACACGCTCTAGTTGGAGGGAGCTAGAGGTTGTATGTGGGTCCCGTAACACGGAACCATATTCTACAATAGATCTAACTAAGGAACAATAGAGCACTTTTAACGATGATTCTAGCTTGAATTCGGAAGCTATTAGCTTCACAAATCCTAGCACTTTTAGTGCCCTACAACACGAAGATTCAATGTGTGAGTGAAAATCCAGAGTAGGGTTGTAAAGTATACCTAGGTCTTTCACGCTCATGACTGATACAAGGGAAGAATCATAAATCTTGTACTGGAAGGGGATAACAGATCGACTTCTAGTGAATGACATAGTTAGACACTTCTTCACATTAAGACTAAGTCCTAGTGAACATAAGTAGGAAGCCACATTGTCTAAATTAGATTGAAGTAAGTGATAATCATCTATAGAACTAATTTTCAGGAACGGCTTGAGGTCGTCTGCAAAAACAAGGAATTTGCAGTTTGGTATGATTTTTTTTATTCCATTTAAGAATAGGGCAAATAGTAGTGGTGATAAGTGGCCACCTTGTGGAACACCGGACGGTACGAAAGACACCGATGATTTATGCCTATTAGTCTTAATCAATTGTAATCTGTCGGATAAATAAGACCTGAACCAAGACAAGAGAGGATCGCCAAAGCCTGTCTTGTAAAGAACTTGGACAAGAGCTGAGTGGTCTACACGGTCAAAGGCCTTTGACAAGTCCGTATATATTGTATCTACTTGGAGGTTTTTTTCAAAGGCCTCAAAGATATACTTGTTAAAGATCATAGAGTTCGTTATTGTGGAGCGGCCTGGTAGCATGTTGTTCATCAATCAGTACAGAGTTCACAGATGGTTGAATACTCTGGAGGACAAGTGAGTCGAACAGCTTAGCTAAATGGGATAATATAGAGATTGGTCTATAGTTCTTAACGTCGGATTTGTCACCTGATTTATGTATTGGAGAAACACAAATCATTTTCCATATAGAAGGGTAAACTCCTTCATCAAGTGAGCGTCGGAAAAGTAGCAGTAGAGGAAAGCTAATGGAATTTCGAATATTGTACAAGTAAATGCCAGAGAGCCCGTCAGGACCAACTGATTTTAAGTTCTTTAGCTTATCCAGACCTGCTTCAATATCTACGATGCTAATGCTGGAGTTGCTTGGTAAATCATGTTGGAGAAATGGCATATCGAATGTATTACTAGTATTGGATGTGTAAACAGAGTTGAAGTGTGAAGCAAAAAGATTGGAAATCTTTTCGGGGCCGATGCAAGAGGAGCCATTTAAGTGGACTAAATTAGGTATACCATTTTGTGATTTGCTCTTTCTAACAAAGTCCCAGAAGGAACGAGGATTATACTTAAGAGCTGATTCGGTACGAAAAAGGTGTGCTTTATAGCATTTCTTAGATTCAGACTTGAAGCGAGCACGAATATAAGAGAAAGATATATAATCGCTCTGGTTGCATGTTGATTTGTATTTAGCATGCGCATGTTTTTTATCAAATGCCAGCGCTTTTAGGTCTTTAGTGAACCAGGCAGGAAATTTTGAGGGAGTAAAGGAGACTTTAGGCACAAATTTTAGTATACAGGAATGAAGTGCATCATAAAAAGCGTTTGTGGCAGAATTTACATCGAGAGACAAAAACGTGTCATACCAATTGAAAGATAGTAAAAATTTGTTTATATCAGGATATGATGCTTGATGAAAATTAAAAAAATTGTGAGAATTTATAGGTATGGGTACAGTTTTCTCAGCCGAAATATTTATACACAGGGCAGGGTGATAAGGGTCGCATGGAACAAGAGTGTCTAAAACAGTGTCCACTGAAGCCATCTCATTATTGCAGAATACAAGGTCAAGGAGCTTCCCATTAGTGTTTAGAACTTTATTTAGTTGATAGTAGTTTAGGAATGCAAAAGTTTCTGGAAGGCAATTGATTCTGATATCAGGGGTGGAAGAATAAGTTAACCCAAGATTATCGTTAGACCAAGTGATGTCAGGCAGATTAAAATCACCGCAGAATAGGAATAAAGAATTAGGGTTATCATTAATAACTGACTGGACTGTGGACAGTAAGATTCATAGAGATGAGTAGAGCTGTTAGGAGGAATGTATGCTGAACTTACAACATAACTGGAGTCGTTGTAAGTAAATTTGACAAATATATGTTCAACATTTCTGTTGGTAATAGGGATAATATTCGAGTCGAATTCGGCACGAACTGCTATAAGAACACCACCACCTCTACTAAAACTACTGGTTAATGCATTTCTGTCACATCTAAATACAGTATAATTATATAAACCTAATTCATTATCATATATATTATCACATAACCAAGTTTCAGATAGACATATAAAAATATAGTTATGTATGTTGATAATATATGTGAGCAATTTAATAGTATTATCAACAAACATATTGCTGGCAAACGCATTAATTTCGCTCTAAAAAATTCATATAACGCCCGTGTTGAAGCTGCTGTAGTATCTTTTAATACTTCAGGACAATATTATTAGATTAATTCATAAAAAAATTACTAAGAAGAGTCCAGGTATTTATATTTCTCATTATTTAAACATTTATATTTTTATATATTGTTTATAATTTTTTTACTTACATAGGAATAGTTGGTAAACAATTTTTGAAAGCCCGTGAAAGTAAATTGAGTAATTTACAAAAAAGAAGGCTTAATTTTAAAAAAAAGAAAAATATACTGCGAAACGAAAAAAAAATTTTGGCCCCGATGAACATTATGGGCTAGCTGAACCATTGGACGATAATGAAACACCTGGAGATATAGATGAAAAAAAAAATAATTTTATGATATCAGTATCAATTTCTAGTGAAGCTATCGATAAGTTAGAAAGGGACAATCGAATTCACAAACGTGGCAAGTTGAACGCAGAATTCGCCTAACTGCATCCAACTTTGGTAGAGTTTGCAAAATGCATTTAACATCCTGTAAAGGAACTGTATATGATTTGCATTACGGAAATGTAACAACCAAGGCGATGGAATATGGAAAAATGATGGAAGATACAGCTAGAAAGAAATTTGAAACTTTAACCAATTTTAAAGTTTTAAATTGTGGTTTGTTTATCGACAAAGATAAACCATTCTTAGCTGCTAGCCCTGGTGAATACGATTTATTATATTTATTTATATTATGTATATTGTAAATTATGTATATTTTGTATATACCTTCAGATAAAGTATATATTTTATTTTCTGCAGATGGTTTGGTAGGCGATACAGCTCTACTTGAAATTAAATGTCCTTTATCGACAAAAGATACCATTGATATTCAAGTTTCAGTCGACAACAAAAAGGTACAATAAAATTATTATTATTATTATTATAAACTATGATACAAAAAAACATGAATGTTTAGTATATTATACCTACCTATCTATCTATGATTTTTATTTATAATTTACAGATACCTTATATAGCCATTGTAGACGGTAAAATGAAACTAAAAAAAGATAGTTCATACTACTACTAAGTGCAAGGGCAGTTGAAAATAACTAAGAGGAAGGTATGTTATTTTGTTGTTTATTCAGAACACTGGCTTCATTATGATGTAGTTGAATTTGACAAAAACTTTTGTAGTTCTAAAATGGAAACTCAGTTAGAAACGTAAGTAAAAAACACGAACTAAATACCTATTACAGTAGTTGTAAATAACATAAATACATAATATTTGAATGTTGTAACTTGAAATCATATATTTTACAGATTTTATAAGGAATGTCTTTTGCCCGAATTGGTTCAACCACGGTATGGCAAACGGCTATTGAAGTCAGATATTTTAGAGCCGAAACACATTTTAGAAAACATAAAAAAAAAAAATTTACCTATTATATAAATTGTTTTGTTATTTTTGTATGATTATCATTTTCAAAATATATATCGCTTATTTTTAAGCTAGTTATAAGGATTTGAAACATTCCATTTATTTTTATAAATGTCGATATATTTTCATTAATTATTATTTATTATCATAATATTAAAAATCTATGTTCTAAAGGAACATAATATAACTTGAATGTAAAATATGAAACACGTAAAATTAATATTAATTTGATTGCACTGTATTTATTTAGGTACTACCCAAATATATTTTTAATATAGATATTAGGTATAGGTATTTGAATTATTAGGTAATAATGCAATAAATACAAATCAAGCTATGTTATAATACAGTTTATACGATCAATATATTGGGACATATATTTATTTAAGCAGTATCTTAAT